CAACCAAGAGAAAAATCTTAGCAAACAAGTTCCCACAATTTTCTTTCCAAGTGCATATTATAATACAAGATTCATTACGTAAGGTGAGATGCTCAGTGCTATTAGTGGTTTGTCCACATCTTTTCAAATACGTTGTTATGTATGGATTTAATTACTCCAGTTCAGAGCTCCTTTGGGAGAAATCATGATACAGTTTAAGGCACAATTTAGCCTTCACGTTATTTGCAGCGCTTGCTTGAATTATCATTTGTCATGGTGTGATAATTCTCATGTTATGTTGGTAAGAGAATTTATGCATAATTTCACGTTTGATTTGAATGTGGAGTAGCAAGTATCTCATTGAGTATAATTCGTTATACTCATCCCTCTCTATTTACAATTTTCAGGTAGAAATTAGTATGCTGGACGGCGGTGGATGGATGCATATTGGACCAATGGATCTCCATCATGAAGTACTTTAATTTTTAAAAACACTAGAATATTTATTAACAGTTGATTATTATTATTTTTAAATTTAGACTCAATTGTGAGTCACGTCATAACTTTCAATTCGCCCTATTTTTATTATTTGTTAGAACTACTTTTATTAATGTTTGATAAAAGATATGATTCCAAATTGTTCCGCATATGTTATTTAATTTAATTTACCTTTTGTTAAGGTTGTTCAATTTTTACTGAATTCCTCGTTATATTAAAATGTATTTGCCTCAAGCACTTTATTAATCAATTCACGTTTGGTAACGTTCCGGGTTGCTAGAGAATTCGGGGCGTTACACTACTTATGATAGTCCTCTACACTTTTCGACCCTTGATATAGACCTTGCAGTTTTTGTTGGATCTCTCGGTAATAGTGGCTAGGAACAAACCTCTTTCTCATCAATGACTTCAATTCCTCCCAAGTGCTGATTGGTCTTCCCCCACTCCTACGTTGTGAAGTAATCACTTGATCCCACCATGAAATTGCATAGTCACTAAACTCCAAAACTGCCAACTTCACCTTTTTCTCCTCCGAATAGTTTTAACACTCGAAGATCGTTTCAACCTTCCTTTCCCACTCCAGGTATGCCTCGGGATCACTCTTTCCTTTGAATGAATGAACTGTCATTTTTATATTTCCTAAATTTCCATCCAACTCCTCCCCGCGATCATTTCGACCTCGTCTGTCAAACCTATCGCCTCTATTCCTCATCCTTCCCATCTCAACACCATGAAATTCATCTTCACCCATGTCACTCCCATATCCATACTCCTCTCGCCTCTCCTTCCTAGGCTCCCATCTATCTGGTCCTCTGGCATTGGATACATCCACTCGATGTCCCCGACTAAGATTAGCTACCGATGTATCTAATCTATTCATCCAAGCCTCCTGCTTCTCCAACCTATCTCTCACATCTCCGAACGCCCTCTCAAACCTTTGCACTAAATCTTCCATTGCATTGCTATTATTGCCTTGTCGGCTTTGAGTTTGATTCTGCCCTTTCTGACATCCTAACACTAAAATTTTATTTTACTGCCTTACCAGAAGCCACTCGAAAACACACACATGGCTTTTACTCTCTATTAAGCTCACCTCTCTGCCTTTTACCACTCAATTCTTTCAACAATTCCTTCTAGGAACTATCAATGGACTCAATAAATCAATCAATTCGGGTAGAATTCCCCAAACCGGATGTGACTCAATAATTGTAACATGGATTCAAAGAAAACTTTTAAAACTTGATTTGAATGAAGGAATGGAATGATTCAATGTGTCCAAGTAATTTAGAAACGATATTAAATAATTATAGTTGGTTTTTGACGGATCAATAATTTTTTAACAAGTTTTTTTTAACTGTATGGATGAACAGTACCGTATGGATGA